GTTGCCTTTTCCTCCCCTTTCTGAAACCTTTTGTTGTTGTCCTCTGCTGGTTACCATCATCATCTTCATTCTTCAGGTATTTACGTAATACCTTATGGTCTGTCTGTACTCTAAGATCCTGGTAGCACCTTTTCTGTGGCCTTCATTTATGCATCAGGGCACTATGTTCCCCCACAGACCATTTCTCCATTGAAGGCGTAATGTGGGAGGAAAAGCTGCAATTACCTGGAACTCTAGGATTTTAATACACAAATCCCTATGACATGGAGGATAACATACTCCTTTTTTTTTTTTAAGATTTAATCTTCTGACTAACATAGAATAAGACCCTAACACTTGAATATTGAAGGAAAAAATCCTTCTAGAAATTTTTTTTAGATGTTTATCTTTTTTTTTTAAGGTTTTTTTATTATTTATTTATTTTAGAGAGAGCACAAGCAGGGGGACGGGCAGAGGGAGAGGGAAAGAATCTCAAGCAGACTCTGTGCTGAGCACAAAGCCCAACGTGGGACTCGATCTCATGACCTTGAGATCATGACATGAGCCAAAACCAAGAGTTGGACACTCAACCCACTGAGCCAGCCAGGCACCCCCTTCTAGAAATTATTTTTAAACCAATGATCACATTGGTGGTTGGTGACTGTCTCATGGGAAATATGTTGTATTATATATTGCCTCCTTGACTCTTTACAGATCAGCAAGTTGCTCGGATGGAAAAACTAGCCGGTTTGGTAGAAGAGCTAGAGGCAGATGAGTGGCGGTTTAAACCCATTGAGCAGCTGCTGGGGTTCACACCCTCTTCGGGTTGACCTTGCCGGGATGGTCAGCTCTGGTGCACAGCAAGTGCAGGGCCAGCGAGGGACTTTTCTTCCAGCATACGCAGCCATCCAGAGATTCACAGCTCCATTGCTGAATTGTTAATTCATATCCATACTTGGTTTCTCTGTATCTATCCACAAGCAACAAATACTTAAATGTGTGATCTTGCAGGGAAAATTTTTGTTTATTTGTTTAAAAAGGTATTGAGAATCAGATTAAGACAATCGGCATCAGAGAACCAGAGGTTTGGGTTTAAGAGATATTTATAAACTTTTACAAGCCAGGTAGGACACATACCAGAATTGGCCCACTGAATGACGTCTCTCCTGTTCATTCATGCAGTGCCTGGAGTCCTCACCAGTCAAATCCAAGATCAGGATCAGGAGTTAACAAAACACAGTGTTTCTGACCTAAAACAGTTCTTCTTGCAGATGAATGTGATTTCAACTCAGGACCTGTCCAAATGAGGAATTTTAAAATGTTTGGGTTTTTTTCTATTTTTGGACATCTAATTCTATAGATTCTAACTTTTTCTAACCTCTTCTAGACATGCCAAATACTGGCAAAAAGAATTACTTTTTGAATGTTGAAGCACTTGTAAAAATAAATCGGTGAGCAAAATCCTTTTAAACACAGAAATCCTGAGTTCATCTTGTTGGTGGGCTCAAGCAATTCTGTAGCAAATAAATCCTTTGGAAGAGTTCCAGATTGGTTTTTTATCCTTTCAAAGTCTCAGGGATTTGGGATGGGGAAGAGGTCAAATTACTTTTTATAAAAAGGGAATCTAAAAACATTTCTCCTGAGCAAATGATAGATTGCCTTTATCTCAGGGATATTTGTCTTTACAGAACTCTATGAATTTAGTAGGTTTTCACACCACGATACGGAAAAACCTGGAAAGCGAAGGAATGGCCTTTGTTCTCCCTCACACGACCCCCAGGGTCCACACTGTACACTTAGGAAGATGATTTATTTTAGATTGTATGCTAATTTTGCCTTGATAACATTTGCCTTTCTCCTCCTTGATCACTTGCACCTGACCTGCTTAGAGTTGTTTAGTTATGAATAAATACAGTCCCAGTAGCAATTGGCCCTAATCTCAGTAGTTCAAAATGTTTAACACATACTACCTGATAAGGAGGTGGTGACCATTGAGTCAGTAATCTGACTCACAGAATCTGAGCACAGGGATGTTGAAGACCTACTCATGGTCACATAGCCCAGGCAGAAGGAAATCTTGGATCTTGGAGATTTCAGTTGATTGATAATTCAGCCCACTGCTCTCATCTCTAAAGCAATTCAGAGCACAAAATGACCAGCCTGCAAACTCAGCTATTTCCATAATAATACGTCTCAACCCAAGCAGGTTCCGTATTTAGAAGCCATTGAGTTTCCTAATGTACTTTTTAGCACCCACCATCTTGATAATTACCAAAGGAAAAATAAAACATACCTAGACCGCAGTAAGCCTGTAGGTGATACTTCCAGTGACAGTTGAGAAGCGATCGCTCACTTGTGCTCATTTGTTTCATTTGCATAACTCTACAGCACAGACACTTCATTACATCTTAGCCTTGGGTATTGGGACTTAGAGAATTTTTTTCTCTTTCAGTTGGTCATTTCTTTTTTATGACTTTAGAAACTGAAGAGATCCTAGGGTTGAACAGAAATGCTTTCTGAAGCCCCTTTCACAGTGATCCTTCAGCGGCTGCTTGAGTGTGGCCAGAACACGACCCTCACTATCTTTTGAAGATGCCCCCCATCCCCTGCACCTTTCTGTTGGCCGTCCTGTCTCAATATCCACAATTCCTATAACCATGCTTTGAGCTTGAAGACGGTCCTTGCTGTGTATCTGTCATCTCCTCGGCACTCACTATGTGCCAGTCACTCACAGGCATTCATTATAATCTTTTCAGTATCACTGCAAGATATGTAAGGCCCCCAATACAGAAGAGGAACTTAAAGCTCAGAGTGAGCATTAACTTGCCAAGTCTGCAAAGCTAAGTAAATGGCCAAGCCTGGATTTGAATTCAAAGTCTGTCAGCTTCCAAAGCTGAGATTATTTTAGATGCACCGTGCTGCATCCCACTGAGCCTGACCTGGTGCCTTGAACAAAGAAAAATTCTAAGACCTTTTTTTTAATGATAAAATGAATTAACTACCAGGAGGAAATAAGCTTTGTCACTACTGTCCCTTCTTCCTCCCAGTGCTTGGTGATAAGGGGTCTCAAGCAAAATAAAGAAACAGCCTCTTCCTTTAGGAGCTGAGAGAATTAGCTATATGTTCATGTCTATATAACTTTTTAAGCTTCAGTATGGTGCAAAGGTAGTTAGATGCTTGAGAGACACCCCCATGAGCAAGGAGGAAGGCCAAGGGCAGATGGCAGCTAATGACCAGGACGACACACAGCCATCCTAAGAAAGCTGACGGTAAAGGTGTCTCCTCAATAAAACGTTTTGCTGTTCCCAAAGCATTTTCACATGTTGTGTGTTGATTCTCATATCAACCCTGTGAGATAAATGAGGCGAGTATTATTTTACAGTTGAGGAAAGAGGCACCGAGAAGGTGAGGTACCGTGATTATTAACTGAGATTATAGTTAATAAGCAAGGGAGCTAGCCTTTTAAATCTTTGTCTCTGTGGCTTCTAGTTCATCGGATACTAGCAAATCTGAAGACAGAATTGCTGTTAATAAAGTGATTCAAGTCAGTCTGATAACATAATTCCATATAAGTGTCTTATCTCATGGTTATGAGCTATAAATCGTAAAACAAACTTAACTTTTTTTTTTAAGATTTTATTTATTTATTTATTTGAGAGAGAGAGAGAGAAACAGCATGAGAGGGGATAGGGTCAGAGGGAGAAGCAGACTCCCTGCTGAGCAGGGAGCCTGATGCGGGACTCGATCCCGGGACTCCAGGATCATGACCTGAGCCGAAGGCAGTCGCTTAACCAACTGAGCCACCCAGGCGCCCAACAAACTTAACTCTTAACGTCGTTGAACAAAAATTTTACTTTTTAACTTCACATTACCCAGGATCAGCATGAAAGTCCTGACTTTTCACTGATCTGCTTAAATGTGTTATTAGTGCCATCCCATACCTAATACTAACAACCGTGGTGTGGAACTCGATTAATCAAGTTCCTCACCGAAGGACTTCTCTTTGCTCTGTCCATTTGTTTGCAGGCTATGGCTTCCTTTTCCCCGCATGGTTGGGAGTCCTTCAATCCCTTGCTTCCAGTCACAACACCAGGTACTAAGGGGTTAGAAACTTTGGACCTTAAGGCCAAGTCAGAACTAGAAGAAAAGAGATAGGAGCAGGAGAGGCCTATCATCCAGAAGAAAGAGGAGGAACCCGCCACGGATGTGGCACCCTTTCAGGCAAACCCAAGAGATACCACACTTGAAGGAGGAGCCCATCCTGCCTCTCCCTGTCCTTTTGCCAAAGCACCTAATTCTGCCTAAAATATCTTGCCAGGTCTCCTTGTAATTGCCAGAAGTTCCAACCATGACAATCCTTTCCATAAAAGAGAGAAAAGGCTTAAATAACATACTTGGGAAAGTCAAATCTTGGGTTGCGGGCAGAGTGCAAACGATACCAGATCTTTTCCTGTTTCCCACAGCTGACTTTGGGATGGGGATGGCACCATGGGGGAAGCATGGGGGAAGGAAGGCTGGAGCATGATACTTTGCCATCAGCCTGCCTTGTTTGTTTGCATCTGGTCAGAGAGGGAGTCTCGGAATTTTAGGAGCTGAAAGAGACTTTGAAGACCATCTAGTTCATCCCCCTGGTTTACAGCTAGGATGTTGAGATCCTGTCTGGCTCATTCACTGCTATACTCAGTACCTAGAATACTACCTGGCACGTAGTAGCTGCATTATAGGTATTGAATGAATGAATGAATGCATGAATATGCTGTATGTTTGCCCTGATGTAGAAGCTACAGTGGCTTTTGGCAATAGCCATAGTGGAGTAACGCCTAAGGTTATTGAGATAAAGTAGTGGGCAGAGCCCAGATCTCAGCCCACAGCTCTCTATAATGCTACACTGACAGGTGGAAGCTGTGCGAAATGGAAACTATGCCAAAGCAGCCGTGTCTCACATGATCCCATCCCTGTGAGGAGCCAAGGTAAAGGAGGCTGGTGCCTCCCTGTCCTCCTCATGGGCTCCTGTCCTGCACATGGGCCCGGTAGTAGTGCCACCATGAGCTGGCCTCCATGTCTCCAGATACTTTAATTTCTCCAGTCTGTCAAGTTCCCAAAAAGGACTTATTTTCCAGAATCAGCTTATTTCATTTTTATAATACAAGCTCTTCAAGACAATGAAACAACATACAATTTATTACCAGCAGTAGCAGAAGGGATGTTCCTTTCCAAATGTCTTTTATTATTCAACACACATTTATTGAGCACTTACTATAGGTCTAGCGTCTGCTACTTGTTAAGGATGTCAAACAAGACATGATTACCAACCTTGAGGTTATAAATACATTGAGAGACAAAAGACTGATTTTAAGTGTAAAACTTGCCTGATAGGGGAAAGCACGAGACGTTGTAAAATCAGAGAGGGCTAATCCAGCTGAGCAAGGGGTCAGAGATTTCCCAGGATGATGTTTTTAGACTGAGACCTGAAGAACAAGTCAGTGGGATGGGAAGGAAGGATGTTCTGGGTGGAGGGAATAAAATACGCAAAGGCCCAAGGAGCAGAAAAGGCATCATGCTGTTAAGGGGCTGCAGGTGTCTGTTACGGTTGGTTCATAGTGTATCGGACCAGATGGATTTTGCTAAGGAATTTGAACTTCAAGCAGAGGACACTGGGGAATCCTTACAGGGTTTGAATGACAAGATCTAGTTTCACTTCAGAAGTTTAGTTGGAGGGAATGGTGGCACATCATTAGAGGTAAGATCCAGATCCTTTAGGAAGCTGTTGTGGAGATCCAGATGAGATGACCGCAACCTGTTGAAGATGGGAGATGGAAGGGTAGATTTGGTTTGAGAGTTACTCAAGAAGTATCCTATATAGGACTTGGTGACTGGTCAAACTTGGAGAACTCCAGGAGGACACACAGGTTTCTTGTGTGGGTGGCTGGGGGATCAGGGGTTACTATTTACTGAGATAAGGGTATGGAAAGAAGAGCAGATTCAAGATGTCCAATAGGCAGTCGACTATGGGTGGACAGTGTGGGAGAGTGAGCTGGGCTGGAGTTAGATTTGAGACTGACCAGCCTAGAGGTATTTATGAAACCAAAGGTGGGGATGGTGGATGGAATCACCCAGGGAGAGAGCCCATGGAGCAAGAAGAGAATCGGACCAAGGAGAGATCCCTGAGGAACGCTTACACATAAGGGACAGACAGCAGAACAGAAACCCAGGAAAGCACCTGGCAGGAAGTCACCAGAGAGAGACAGAAAGCCAAGAGTGTGGCATCATGGAAACTGAGGGGAGGGGACATTCTGAGGAGACTGCAAATAGCAAAATTGGTGTAGCCAAGCAATTAAGTGATAGAAGGAATGGATTTTACCAAGAAGAAGATCATTGGTGACTTTGTCTCAAGAGCAGTGTGGTACAGTGGAGGCCAAGCCAGACAGCTGAGGGTGGGAGAGTGAGCAGAAGGGGAAAACATAGGGCCACATCTAGGCAACACTTTTAAGAAGTTCAACAGGGGGTGCCTGGGTGGCTCAGTTGGTTAAGCCTTCGACTCTTGATTTCGGCTCAGGTAGTGATCTCAGGGTCATGAAACTGAGCTTCATGTCAAGCCCCATGTTGAGCCCTGTGTGGGGCTCCGTGCTCGGCGGGGAGTCTGCTGGAGTTTCTCTCCCTCTTTCCTTCCCCCCTTCAAATAAATAAATAAACACTAAAAAAGGGGAAGAAGAAGAAGAAGTTCAAGGGGAAAGGGAGACAAAATGAAGGACAGAGAGGGTGACAGTTAAAGGAAGACACACAGGCAAGACATTTGTTTTTTCTTTTCCAATGGGAGAGGTCAAAGAGAAAGAGGGGGTAATTGAAGGTATAAGGTCCCTGGGGAAGTGGGAGGGGATGGGATCCAGAGCCCAGTTGGAGTGATTACTCTTGGAGGGAGGGCAGGCGAAAAGGATAGTGCTGATGTGGGTAAATGTGTAGGTGAGGTGGCAGGAAGCTGAGGGAGTTGCCATCAGATGGCTTCTATTTTCTCTGTGGAGGAGGAGGTGAGTTGGTTTACTGCCTGTGCTAAGGGGCAGGAAGAAGCGGGAACAGTGGGGTTGGGAATAGTCCCTGTAAAGAACGGGAGAGAGCCGACCAGGGCCAGCGGCAGTTAGAGTCTCTGAATTTGCAATGGCACCAATCTTTGGGGAAGCCCTGTAGCAGCCCGGCAGTATAAATGGAAAAAATGAAGAATTAGTGGTTATTGTTTTGTATGGTAAGGGCAAGAGGATAAGCAAATTGTCAGTCTAGGGCTAGCAAGGAAAGGAAGTAAAAACGAAAAGAGGTTACCAGAGAGAAGCTAGAAGAGTCAAACATTTACTGAGGGCCTACTTTGTCCTTGGTAATATATATAGGAAAAAAGAAATACAAAGATAGGGCAATAGTCCCCAAACTTGGTGGTGCCCCAGAATCAAGCATAATAAAAATGCAGGCTCCCTGGCCTCATTCCTGGGGTCTGAAAGGTCTAAGGTTGGGGGTTCCATGTGACTCTTCTGCATTCGGGTTTGGGAACCACTTGGACCAATGGGAAAAACTGACAAGCGAACAGATATATGGGATACGTACAGTGCCATAACCCCGTGACTCCAGTCCCTTTGGGGTACTGTGGAAGCCAAGAGGGCTTGGAGAGGGAATGACAAGGAGATTTTCCTAGAGAAGGTAAGCCTGTGCCTGAGCATGACTGATGAGCTGGAGTTAGCTGAGCAAAGTGGGGAAGACGCCAAATAAAAGCATTCCAAGTACAGGGAACAGCGTGTGCAAAGGCAGGGCAGCGTGAAATCACCCACCGCACTGGTGGAGCTCCCAGTCATTTGGTGTGGCTGGAGGAAAGGTTGTAAACAGGGGAGTGGTGAGATCTCTCAGGAGAAGGAAGCAAGGGCCAGATTGTTTGGAGGCTCGTTTGCCGTGCTCCATTGTCCATCAAAAGAGCGTTTCTCTAACACAGCAAGGGTGCACTTAAGAAAGAGGCCAAGGGGCGCCTGGGTGGCTCAGTCGTTAAGAAAGAGGCCAAGAATCCTGGCTTTCAGAATAAATAACTTAGAAAGCAGGCTCCTCGGGCCTGGAAGGGTTAGATGAGCTGGTATAATGCATCAGATGGGACCTCTGCAGGCCACTAGGTGGGGAACGGTATTTTTGCTCTGACTAGAAACTAAGCATTTTCAGATTTGTATTTACTTACTTGTCGGGAAAAGCAGATGTCCTAAGCTCAGTGAGAATTATTCAAGGAGCCTCCCTTCTGGGCTCTGAGCCAAAAGCCAGAATAAGCAGCAGCCTGAAATGATCAAATTTAAAGTATATGGACATTGTGGAGAGATGTTTTCCCCCCAGATGGTTTCTCCTCCTTCTTTCCTTGACCCTGAAAGCCTGAAGTAAGCTCGCACGCCCTCTTCCCATCGCCCCCCTCCCTGCCCCATCCTTATTCTCAGAAACCTCCAGGCATATATTTGAAGATAAACCACAGAAGCACAGGCATTTCATTTGTGTAGCAAACCCAAAGGTTATGTCTGGGGGCTGTTGAAGTCAGATTCTACCCACTTAACTTTCTGCAGAGTCTCCAAAATATAGTGAATCTGGAATATTCTGTGGAGTCGGGGCAATGTGACTCTCAACACATACTCCCTGAAAGACAACCTAAGACTTTGCTATCCTGGACCAGTGTCTGCCCACAGAAGACTCAAGGATCATTCTGTGATCCCATTTCAACAGTCAAGCTTACAGTGTTTTTTGAAAGCACTCCTGATAATGAAAAGGAAAATCAGACTCTCCCAGCCAGCCTGCGTTTGCAGCTGGAGTACCAGGAGCTGAGGCCTCCAGAGACCTATGGACTCAGGAGCCAGGAAGAAAGCAGGACATCATCCCCTTGCCATCTCTCAGTACAGACAGTATTCATTCTGAGAGCTAGAAAAGAAGCAAGAGGGGCGCCTGGGTGGCTCAGTCTGTTAAGCGTCTGCCTTCAGCTCAGGTCATGATCCCAGGGTCCTGGGATGGAGCCCTGCATCGGGCTCCCTGCTCCGCAGGGAACCTGCTTCTCCCTCTCTCCCTCCTGCTGTGCTCTCTCTTGCTGTCTCTCTCTCTCTCTCTCTCAAATAAATAAATAAAACCTTAAAAAAAAAAAAAAAAAGAGGGTCTGGAAGTTACCAGTTTAATACTCTTAGATTTAAAAGCTGCTGAGGGGGATGGGAAAGGTTTCCATACTGAAAGTGCCAGTGACCATGAGGCCCCGAGCTTAGAAGGAGGAGGACCTCAGGGTAGGTACAAGTAGTGTGCGGGCACTGGGACCCCTGAGAGTAGTCATCATGGTTAATATGTAGTGAGCATTCCTGGATGTGGGGCACTGGGCTAAGCACTCTCACACATGACATCTTTTACTCACCGGGAGAGGGTAAGAGAAAGGCCATGTGGGGCCAAGGAATCCACCAGGGGTGGCAGGAAAGAATACCGTAGCCCAAGAGCCGACGGATGGGCCTTAGCTACTGTATTCATTCAGGCTACAGCTCCCGCAACAGCTTACTGGATCTGCGGGAACAGAGTACCATAAACTGAAAGGTTTAAACAACAGAAACTTAATCGTATCCAGTTCTGGAAGCTAGAAGTCCAAGATCGAGATGTCAGCATGGTTTGTTCCTTCTGGAGGCCATGAGGGAAGGGATCTGTTCCAGGCCTCTCTCCTTGGCTTGCAGATGACGGTCGTCTCCCCGTGCCTTTACTTAACTTCCCTCTATGCGTGTCTGTGTCCAAATTTCCCCTTTCTATAAGAACACCAGTCGTTTTGGTTTAGGGCCCACCCTACTGACCTCATTTTAACTCGATGACCCCTGTCAAGATCTCCTCCAAATAAGATCACATTCTAAGGTACTGGGGTTAGAACTTCAACATATGAATTTGGGGGAGGGACATAATTCTACCTGTAACAGTGACATCTAACCAGACCATCTCCTTTTGTAAATAAGGCTAATGAAGGCTCGAGTGGGAAAGCAACTTGCACAGGGTCACACCACAAATTGAAAAAGCTAAGACTAGGGGCGCCTAGCTGGTTCCGTAGGTGGAGCATGCAACTCCTGATCTTGGGTTTGTGAGTGTGGGCCCCACATCGGGTGCTGAGATCACTTAAAAACTTTAAAAATCTTAAAGACAAAACAAAACAAAAAAAAAACAGAAAAGAAAAAGAACAAACTAAGACTGGAACCCAGGTGTTTTGGGGCTCTGAGCCTTGAGCAGCCTTCCCCCGGAGGAGCAGGATTACCTGCTTTTGGAAGCCCCTTCTCCAAGAAGACAATCCCTGAGCCTGGACAAGTCTGGGAGGCACCCAGTGGAATCTCTTTACAGGCCTGGGGTGAGAACTCCCTAAAACCCCCTTATGAACCAATACGTGGAAAAAAACTGAAATGCCAGAGTGGAAGAAGTCCTATGACCGGAGCTTAGTATAAGCACTGGGGGTTATTTTTAATGGCCAGGACCCTTGTTAAGGAGGCAGAGGCGTAGCGTGTCACCCAGAACTTTGCTCCCTATCTGCAGCCCCCACAGCCTCATTAGCCAGAATATGCTGGGTGGTACTGGCTTCTCCCACGCTCGCTCGCTGGGCCCGCCTCCGTCTAGAGGCTGGCATCTGGCCCCCATACCTGCCAGGAGGCTGGAAGGCTTCCGTTTTGCAATCTGTTGTGGGAACTCACCAAGACATTTTGAAAGTCTCATGCAACCTGCAGGAGGTGCATGGGTTTAGGAGGCTTGCTCTTGTGGCTTCCAAAACAAGGAGGCAAAAATTGAGATTGAATATAGCCCAGCAGTGTGGGTGACACCAAACCACAGATGAACCGATAGGCTGCAGGGAAGGAAGTGAAAAGTTCACCTTGTCCTTCCATGTAACAGAGGGCTGTTGGTTTTGCAGAGGTTTGCTTTTTTAAACAATTTTCATTCAATAGAAGTAGCCCGGCAGGACAGCATATTCTAGCATTCGTGGAAATAAAAACGAGGAACCACATCACAGACTGTTCTGCTCCGAACTTGGCCCTGCTTCCCTGGGCAGCTCCCAGTTCCTCCTGATGTAGGCAGCAGCCCCGGTGGCCCTCGCCCCGTCCCAGGTGGGGTCTGGCCTTCGGGGAGGAAGGGAGGAGGTAGCTCAGAAGCATCAGCTGTTTCCCTGCATCAGAGCCAAGACCCTGGCCTCAGCTAGAAACTCAGCTTTGTCCCCGGCTTCTGTCTTCCGCACTGTGAAAAGTTTCCATCACAAAGGGTCGATTCAGGAAACCAAGGTTAGAGGCAAACGGTCTTATTTGAAAATGGTGAAGGCCAGCAAGGCCCTGGGCTTCCTGCATTGATTGCTCTCCTGGGGCCTGGGACCAGCCCAGCAGGGTGGGGCGGGCAGCTCAGCAGGTTGCAGGATGTGAAAGTGGGGGCTGAGGTTAGGAAAAAGAATCAAAGGCTGGGACCAGAACACACCCAGCAGAGGGCCATGTGCAGCTCTCCTCTTCAGGGTTTCCTGCGGGTACACTGAGAACATTGTGTTCTGGCTGTGAATTCACCCGGCTGAGCCGGCTCCACACTCAGCCCCTGGGTCCTAGTGCTGCCCCGTGCCCGTGCTCAGCGTTAGCTACCAGTACCTGCAGGGGGGCCCCGTAGGGCCCCTGGGAGGGCATTTCCACTGTGTCCTCCACTGGGAGCACTTAATTTCCCATTCAGCCTGCATTTCCAAAGCATCCCCAATTAGCCTCTCCTGTCCCCCAGGACAAAAACGTGAGGGACATTCAGATGACAAACCTGAGGCTCCAGGAAACTGGGAGGAACAACCGTGGTCCGTGTTCAAGGTTTTTGGATCCAGGCATTTGGAGACATCACTTCAAACCCTTGAACTGAATGTGAGCCTTTGCCTTCAACGTTTCTGTCCAGATGAATTTAGGAATAAGGTGCTTCCTTGATCAATTCTCCCAAACAGCTAAAAGCTCATGCATGAGGTGCAAAGCTATCCAGAGAAGCCATAGCCTGACCTCTGCTCTGCCCAGAGCCCGTGCGTGAGCTGCGTTGGGCATGAGCTCCCTGGACCTGTGGCCGTGAGCCTCTGGGCAGCACCCCACAAGGTCCCAGACCCCCGATCAGTCTGTGTCTGTGTATCTCTTGCGACCCAGAGGCACAGGCTGGGCCCCAGGCCAAGTAGCCAAGTACCAACAGGCCAGCAGAGAGGGAGAGGAAACTTAGGAGGGGTTGGGGGGCTTTCTGGCAGTTTTTAAAAGGGGTTTTGGATTATAAATTCTTCTACAAGATTTTAAGTCTCTTTTTCCAAGTCATCTTTATATCCTGTGTGTGTGCTGGTCCTAGCCACACAGTTGTTGAATGATCTGAATGAAAGTCCACTCGCTAGAAAGCCTTGCCTTTAGCTGCGGGTCACAGTCATTCAACTGCACATTGAGCACTTACTGTGTACCAAGCATGGACTGAGACAATCGGCATACAATTGCTAAAAACAAATATACAAACAAAGGAAAGGCAGTGGTGGTGTCTGCCCCCCCTAGAGACCATGGTCCAGTGGAAAGAAAAGCGTTCAGTTGGGAAGAATGATCCCAAGGGTCCCTGGTTATCCTGGGGCAAGTCCAGCCTCCTGTAGGTGAGCACAGAGCAGGGAGACCTACCTTGGCTGGGGGCCCAGCAAAATCCTCGAGGAAGGGATCTTTCAGCTGAAACCCAGAGGGAAGTAGGAGTTAGTCAGACGAAGGAGGTTGGGAAAGAGGAGTTCGCACAGAGGTAATAGTGCTTGCGAAGACCTGGAATTTCAAGAGCAGGTGGTTCAGGAAAGAACTGAGGAAAGTCTTCCAAGACTTCTGAACTCCCCCCAACAGGCAAGCTAGCCCCTCAGGAGAGAGCCCAGGCATTGTTCTTGTCCATGAGGAAGGGATCCCACCACTTCTCCGTGGCCTTCCCCCAGCCCCCAGACTCCACTCCTGGGGAAACCAGAGGAATCCTACAAGATGGCTGGGACCATCTTGAGGCGGGAAGGCCTCGGGTGGGGCCGGAAGGGGCAGGTCCTGGTCCAGGCACAGGGGCCCTGGATGGAGATACTGGGCAAATCACTTCCCACCTCTCTCCCTGGACTTCCATTTTCAGGCTTTGAGTCTTCTCAATATTTAGCCTGACACTCAGACGTTCCTGAATCAAGGAAGGACGGCAGTCTCCGTCTATAAAAACGAATTCCTTCGAATGCTAAGATTCTGGGTCTGAGACCCACAGGCAGTCCCGCCCGGGATCCTTTGGGCCACAGAAGTACCGTGAAAGGAAGGAGCACAGTACCCAGCACACCCACAGCAAATGTCTGTCAAATGAATGAGCGAACAAGCGAATGAATGAATGAGCGGATGATCTCCCTGAAGTCACTCTCAGAGCTCTGGTGGGGTCTCACTTCTCTCAGCAGCAGCTGTTTTGATCTCCATCACTCCTGATCCTGTGCACGCACCTGCCCACTTCACAGACAGGCACCAGACCGAATGGGGAAAATGAGCCCTAGATCTTGCTTCTAAAGCCCCATCATCCTAGAGGAACGTGTAAGATGACCCCACGAAGTGGAGAGGCAGTGTGAGGAAGAAAGAGAAAGGACTCAGATGTGCAGAGACTGAAGATAGAATGCACATCCTTCCGTAGTGCTCCCTGTCTTATAAACCCCAAACCTGACAAAGGCTCTGTGAGCAGCTAGAACTTACCAGGGATCGCTGGCAGAGTTCTGGAAAGGGACAAGTGCTCTCTGAGCCACCATATTCCCTGCCTGCCCTGAACCAAGCACTATCGTAAGGGCAAGAGTTCCCAGCTGGGCACACCCTCAGAGGCATTTTCCCTCTCCAGTGGGTTTCCAGGCTAGCCCGCAGAAGCCTGATTCATCCACAACCACACTGAAACATAGAATTAATTCCGGCTATACCTTGGGTGAGCTAGGCCATTATGGCAACTAAACCACCACTTACAGCATTATTTTGATGGGAAAATGTGTTCTAAGCTCCAAGCAACCAAATTATAAGTGGGACACAGACACACCCAGGTTCAAATCCCAGTTTTAACACTTCCTAACCGCGTGGTCGGGGACACGGCACCATCCTCCCAGCCCGTTTTCTGGCTTGTCGAAGAATACCTCCTTCAGAAGGTTGTCAGGCAGAGTAAATAGACACCTGTGACAGGGCCTTACGGCACATGGCAGACATCTCCCTCCTTCCTTTCAGGAGGCCTTTTGCGGAGGAGACCTAGAAACAAGCCTTCCAATGCAGGCCCTCCCAGGGCTCTTTTTTTTTAAAAAGATTTTATTTATTTATTTGACAGAGAGAGACACAGCGAGAGAGGGAACACAAGCAGGGGGAGTGGGAGAGGGAGAAACAGGCTCCCTGCGGAGCAGGGAGCCTGATGCAGGGCTCGATCCCAGGACCCTGGCATCATGACCTGAGCCGAAGGCAGACGCTTAACGACTGAGCCACCCAGGCGCCCCTTCCCAGGGCTCTTATCCAGCTTGCATGGGGGCAGTATTACCCCTGGACTCAGGCTGAGAGCAAGTGTTTATGAGATAAATGGGCTGCTGTCTTAGAAATCACAGAACATTCCTCATCTTTGACCTTCTCCAGGCTTTTACTGGCTTATCTGAGCCAAGAAACTTCTCCTGCCCCTACTTAGCTCCCTCTCCCCCAATTTCCATGAACAGCATTGTTCTGGCTTCCTTTGCTCCTGGTCCTGGGAAGGGGCTTCGTCTCCGGAAGGGGCCAGAAGTCCTGGCCTTTCACCCGGGGCCTGGCCGTCAGCCCACGACAGCAAGCCGGAGGAGGGCGGGGACCCAGGCGGCTCACCACACAGCGCCCGCCTGTGGAAGGCCGACCTCCGGCAGCCCAGCCGGCTTGGGCTCCGGCCCCTCCTCGCTCTGTTTGTTTCCACGCCGCCGCAGCCAGAACGGTTTGTACCCTAAGGACGGTGAAACGGCCAAGGAATCCGTAGGGTCCTAAAGGTCGACCTTCTCCCTTTTCTTGCCCTTGTTCCCAAAAGTCAAGGTTTCCAGGCCTTGGGCTCCTTGTCCCGCGCCCAGGGTCACCAGCACTGTGGGGGTCAGTCACCTCGAATGAGACCCTCGTGCCCTGCACTGTGCTTCTCGCATTCCATCTCCACTTGGTGCCCCCTCTCCACAGTCATCCCCACTTTTTCCCCCCATCTGGAGCCACACGGCCTTCTCAGAGCCTGCCTCCACCTTCCTAGGTCCTGTCAGCGTCCCCTCACTCTGCAGGACTTACCACCACGTCTCCACTGCTCCAGCCCTGAGCCACCATTCACCCACACCCACCCCCGCCCCCCAGTCCTACAACAGCAAAACACAAAAACAAGAAACTCCTGTGAAAGTACTATGAGCTCATGTCAAAATCCAACAGTGCAGAAGGTGTAAAGTGAAAAAGTAAAACCTCGCCCTCCCCATCATCCCTCAGAGATAACATCTGTGAACAGTTTTCCCAGTATCCTTCTAGATGTTTTCTCCACACAGTTGAACATGTGTCTGCAGGGGGGTGTCCTGTTTTTGCTTCAGAACGAGGGGATAGTACACAAATTGTGCTGTCACATGTTCTGTTTACTGAACAATATATCTTGGACATCTTTCCAAAATCTACCTCACTCTTTCGCACACCCACAAAATATTCTGTGGCACGGCTGCCATACTACAGTTTATTTAACCATGCTCCTGCCGTGGACCCGTAGGTGGTTTTCAGGTTTTGCAATCGCCATCTGGTTCCCTGCCCTGGGTCTCAGACCCCCAGTCTGCCCTCTGCACCGCGGCTTGACTCCAGCACCCAGTCTGATGGTCATTCCCGACTCAAGGGACGTTATTCACTAGGTGTCTCAGCTCCCCTCCTAGACCTTAAGACCCGAGCTCCTGGCAGGGGGCACCCTAGGCCTGTCAACTCTCCAGTTTTTTATCCCATCTCAGTGCTGCCTTAGGAAATATGAGAAGGTTCTCAGACCACATGGATCCTTATTTTTTCTGCTCATATATATTTACTGGGAACTCGGTGGGTCTGGCTTTGTGCAGGGCACTAGAGCTCCAGGATGAAACAGATACAGCCCCTGGCCTCCTGGAGCTTGCAGTTTTTGTTGGAAAGACAGGCACTGGATGCGCGCACAGATCCATACACGTATAATTCCCCCTGGAATGAGTGCCTTGAAAGGAAACCACAGAGGAGAAGAAGGGCTGGGGCCACCAAGGAAGGCCTCTCTGTAGAGAAGATAAGGTGAAGGGAGAGAGGGCCAGGGCAAGCCAGCAGACCGTGGGATCTGGCTCCCACTCTGTGCTGCTTTGGCCACTTCCCCTTCAGTCTTCTCATCTGACAAGAAGGGAAATCCCCCTTTCAGCTTTAACTTTCTGTGACAATAATAAATGCTATCAGGGTTCACAGGAAGCAAGCTCCCCACTGCCTGGGAGGGGCCTGGGGAGACTTCTCACTGATTTCACGTTGACCCTGAGTCAGACGTAGGCTCTAGTTCCATTCAATTCTGGGCCAAACACTTGCTTAGCATATACCATATATACCTAACATACAGAGGGGTGTGTTTGTGCGTGTGTGTGTGTGTGTGTGTGATGTGGCAGCCATGTTGGTGGGTGTTTAAAGATTTTACAATACATGAAGGAGTTTACAACGGGTTGTGGCATCAGACCCAGGATGGGATCATTTCAATGTATGACGTCAAGTGAGAAGTGAGCAACTCACCCCCGGCCCAGGCAGCTTTGGCCTGGACCCCCTGTTCTTACACCCCAACAGAGGAACATGGAGCTTCCCATGGGTGTTCAAAGAAGACTCCTCAATGGCCCTGAACTTGAGACCAGCTTGTAGTCAGAGCTAGAAGCTGCTAGAAAGGCATCTGGAAAGAGTGATCAGCGTGAAGACAGGAGCAGGCTGGGAGGGAAGACACTTGACACCACAGAGGAAAGACTTTGCACAGAGCACAGGCAACCTGGGCAAAGTCAATTACACTGGCATTGAAAGAAAACCCCAGCAAAAAAGAGGAGTAGTAGGCCAAAGATTTCATACTCAAGAGGCACAGGGTAGAAGACAGAAATCTGCTGTTACCTCTGCCAGGCTCACTTCCAGGTCTATGGGTCTGTTTCTCTTTAGTGTGATTGAAAATACTATAAATTATATGCTTATACTTTGATGTCCTCCTTTATGATCTGCTGTACACTGCTCTATATATTTTGCACATCTACATACATATTACTGTGCAAAGTTGTATACACAAAGCCATGCATACTGTACTATATGGCAAATTTAAGAGCGTTTCAGAGGTAATTAGAACCAGATGTGATTTTTCCCCTCCTGGGCTGTGGGAGGAAGATGAATCTAGAGATAGCAAGGGGCTGCCCTAGAGGCTTGCGAGACGAAGGTAAGGAGCCAGACTTGCTCTAAAGGCAATGGGGAGGTATTAAAAGATTCAAGAGAGAGGGAGGCCTCATTGAGGCTGAACAAAGGTAAAATCAAGGGTAAGTGGCAGGCTCTCCTTGTTTCTACTTAAGAAAACAGAGTTGCCTCCACATTGGAGCAGTAAATCCCAAACCAGTTCTGTCGTAACTCAGCTCTGTGCCTCATCTTCTCTATCTGTAAAGGAAAACCTCACCCACCATAATGTGGGGCTGCGGGACCACAAGATCAACTTTGGCAGTAACGGAGGCCCAG